CGCCCTGGGGTGCAGGGGGATGCTGTGCAGAACGCGGGGGCATGCCCTGGGGGGCCCGGCTGGATTCCCCCCCACCCCTTGCCGCAGCCCGGCTCCGGCTGCACAGGGTCTGCTCTGCCGCGCAGCTCCTTCCTCCAGCTGCCCGGAGGCCGGGCGATGGGGTGGAGGTGCTTCGCTGAAGCCTCTAGCAAAAATAAAAAATCCCCACTTAAAGCAGGGCTGGGGTGTCTGCAGAGAGCTCGGGCTGCCTGGAGGGCTGTGACTGCTACAGGGGAAAAAGCAGCTGGATTTAACTAATATCCCTCTCTCTTCTCTTGTAGAACAGACATCTTCCAAATCCGCTGAAAAAAAAAATAATGGAAACCATGCATGAGCTGATCCCCTTTGCCAAAGAAATGCTCAGCCAGAAGCCCAACAGGAAAATGGTCAAGCTGTACATGCTGGGCAGCGTGCTGGCTTTCTTTGGTGTGGTTATTGGTCTGGTGGAGGCAGTGTGCAGTCCTTTCACCTCTGCAGGGAGGCTAGAGGAGGAGGAGGAGAAGAAACCTGCCCCGACGCAAGAGCAAATGCTTCCTCAGAAACAACAGGATTTGATCTTGGGAAAGAGCAAGGAGCCGGTGGTGACGCAGAGGGCCCTGGTGACCAGACAGCACGCCTCCTAAGAGCCCCGCCGCTGGAGAGGTGCCTGCTGAGCAACCAAGCACAAGAGACTCTGCTGTCCTGTTGTACCTGGTGGTGGTTCCAGCAAGAAGAGAGAAGGGTTGGCTGAAGGAGAAGGCCGCAAGTGCAAGACTTGAAAGAAGTGAATGGTTATATTTGCTGCTGTGCAGCAGTGGGGAAAAATACCTTTTGTTGGTATAAAAATGTGCAAGATGCACAGCATGGTTTCTTATTTTTATTACAGATGCATTTTACAACATTTTGCAAAATCAATAAATATTTTATATGGTACCAGTGCTCTCTAGCCACATTCATTTCAAACCCTTCTCTTACAGATTTGCAAGTAGGTTTCATTTGCACCTCTGGCTTCCCTCGGGCATAGCTGGAGCGATCCAGGGAACAGTTGAGGGTGGTGGCTGCACCCTCCAGTAAAGCCTCCCTTGGTAAGGCTGCTCTGGGACCGAGGGGGCTGGCATTTCCCTACCTCCAGCAGCTGCTCCCTTCCAAAATGGGCCAACTGGGGTGAAGGGAGGAGGTGGCATTTGTCTCACACAGGTGACAGACACGTGCCATGAGCTGGAGGTGGGGCTGTACTTCATGGGGTTATCTGGGTTTAATGGCACCGACTTGTGTCTCTTCTGGGCACGCATGGCCATGACACTGTTTAAAAAAAAACCCTGACCAGCCCCCAGCAATCCTCTAACAGGCTACGGCTGCTGCACAGCTAAAAAAGCTTAAAAAAAAAAATCTTCTACCTTTCCTGGGATCCTTCACAAACCCACCACAGACACCTAATTGTGCAGAATAATATTAGCTTCCAGCACTACAGGGGTGTCACAGATGGAGAGACAGGATAGCACAGTCAGCCTGGAGTGTGTGGAAACAGGGATCCAAGCTTCAGGGCTGTACCCAGGGCACTACCAGACTCATTAGAAGACTTTCATGTATTTAAAAGTCTTTCCTGGGCTTAGTAAGAATCTGTTGCATTCAGGACTATGTCATGTTAGTCAAATAAACCCTCCAGACAGCCACAGCTGAAAGATCCTGACCACGCTGCAGAAGGGAGGGAAGAGAAATAGTCGCTGCCAGTCATGACTGGGGCAGAAAAATCCCTCTTTAACTGCTCAATGGCAAGGGCATGGCCAGCGGGGCAGAGGTAGGAGCAGGCTACACACCTTGCACAGAAACTGGGAGATGTACCAGCAATATGCCGCTATCTAGCTACGAGCAAAACAATTGATACAAACAGCAGGAGATTATGGAAAATGAAAAAGCGCTGCCTGACACCAGTGCCAAATGTATAGCTCCTCCCAGAGCCGCACAGGTTAAGACCAGAATCTGAAAATAGAAGAACGCAGCTGAAGTTCACCCTTACATTTTCATAAGACATAACCATGCCATTCATTTTGTTGACAATTATTTCTGTCAAAAAACCCAGCAGCACATCATGGAAGAAGAATCCTACTGAGTCTGCACAAAAATTTTGTTCAAGCTTTGAATCAAGTATAAAGCACCTTTTCCTCACGGGGAAAAGAGCAGAGTCCAATTAAATTAAAAACAGCCTTTGATAAAGACTTAATTTAGTCCATAACCAAGCCTTTTGGTCTCTGGCAATCCAACATCTTGTTGACACCAACTGAAATTTCATGGGCAAACATGAAAGGAGAATTCAGGCCTGAAGAAAGCCATCAGCTGACGAGTGTCCATCGCACGCACACCCCCCCCATTCCAGCTTTAAGCAGGTTATACGTTTGCAGCATGGCCTCAGGGACAGGGAAGGCTGACCTGGAATTCCCTGTGGCACGCTTGGTGCATGGATAAACCAGGGACCTGAATGTCTGTGGCTGTGTCAGCCATGAAAATATTGCCAGGTCTGAGCTCTCACACGTTACTGTAATTCAGAAGCATCGCTGCTGTGGCAGAGCTGAACAGTTGATAAATGGATTAAACTGAGATAAGAATCATGTCTTTGTCCAACACAGCTGCAAAACCTGTCAATCGCACATCGGTTCCCAAGATTAGCCCTTCTCTACACATTGTAGGTGTCTCACCCTGCCCTATGGGAAAGGGAAAAAAAAATAAAAATTAAGGGAGAGAGCTGGTCTCAAGCAGCCCAGCTTGCAAGTCCAGGGGTGACTAGGGAGCTCCAGGCAAGCCCGTCTGGGATGACCTCCACCGCTTCTGGGTTTGGACCTCAGGTTGTCTTCACCCCACGTACACGGCCTCCTCGCATCGTGCCGGCACCCTGCTGCCCACACCTCCTCTCCACAGTTATCCAGTCGCAGGGTTTATAAGCTTAAATCAAAGAGGTTTGCAGAACAATCAAAATAGTTCCTCCTAAGACAGCTAATGGGATTAGACAGCTAAACCATGCACTGCGCCAGCGGTTCTGGAGCCAACTCGGTAAAATCATGTCCCGCAGAAGACAATCTCCTGCCTCCTGACGCACTGCAAGCTCAGAGGTTGTTACCTCCCACATATTACCCCAAAAGGTCAGCCTGAGAGGTCAAGCCATTACCATTTCCACAGCAGATTGCATTGATATTAGACAGGACCAGCTCTCTGCAGAGTGGTGAATTAGACACATATTAATGGCTGATTTTACCACAATGACTATATAAAGTCTTATTTAAACCACACAATGAAAAATTCAGTGTGCATGGAGGCTTAGTAATCCATTTAACATCACCTTAACTATAATGAATGACAGACTTGCCAGATGCAGTAGATTAAAAGGCTTCAGCAAACTTCCCTGTCTTTAAAGCATGGCACAACTCTCCAAACCAGCCTCTTTCCCATCCCCCTCTCCTGGCCCCCCCCCCCCCCCCCCCCTTC